TCAAAAATTTTCGTAATTTGAGGCAAAGATCGTAATTTTTCTTTTTGAATGCTTAAGTATTCCAATATGCTACCAATTAAACATGGAACAATTTCTAAATAAAGCTTAATAACAAAGTTGAAATTCGATCTTCAACTGTTAATTTAATGTAGAAATTATCGAAAAAATTGTCAATGTTTTTCTTGTACCTTCCAAGTGAGCCCTATTACCCCTTAAAAGGAATGACGCCAATTTTAAATCACCCTGTAAGCGTCCAATATAAATTAGTTGGAATTTCACTTACTGGATAGGACGCATAGTAAAATTCTAACTCGTTGAGCAAACAAACCCGAAAATTTTTTTGTGAGCTTTCTGTGTTTCTTGGATGAACGCAGTGGCGGCGCAAGCTTTATTTTCCGCTTGGGCGAAAGCCGGCGGAACATTTTTCAAGGTGGGCAGGATATATTTATACTTTTAATTGTAAGAGTTGGGTACAATATTTTATAAAATCTTTTGTTTTCTTCTTTGGCCGAATATAATCTAAAATATTTTTTAGTTATTTTTATTTAACATACAAGCGTTGAAAAGATTCGTGCGTTTGACAATACCTTGAGTGTCCCAATATGAATTAACAATACAAATATTATACGAGATTTTATCTTCTTTCGTAGAATAACGAAATAACCACATTCTGTGAACATTTTTTTAAACGTTATTATGTTGGATACAAATGCTGAATGAAATAAATTTGCTTCAACACTAGTATTGTAATAAAAACTATTATAAACAAATCTATTTTTTGAACTTCAATACTTCCTTTTACTTAACGAAAATGGATTTGAAACTGTTAAATTAACGAATAACATTATAAATATTGAATACAATTTTATTAAGGTAGTGAAATCATTCAATAATGAAATAGTTATTCACGCAGAACAGTAGAAGTGATATTCTTCTATTATTATGCTTAGCAGCAAACGTATCTATAAGTAACTTTAAATCAATTTTTTGCAATACCTTTTTGAGCAAACAAGATGCCCAAGTCAGTAAGCTTATCCTGACTCATAATTGTTCTTAAATAATTTTGTTTTATCTTTAAAGTGCTAAAAGATCTTTCACAACTTGCACTAGAAGATGGTACTGTCATTGTAATATTACATAGTTTATTCATTTCATGGAACACTCAACTAAAATCTTCGAAAGAAGTGTGAGATCTGTCAAAATGTTTATTTTTAGATTATTTGTGATTTCACACCTCTTAATGGTATCTGGCAATGACTGCCTCGTTTTCAATTAAAACTATATCACATTGGTAATGGTTCGCTAAAGGAATAAACGTTCTAAGTTAACTAACTCGGAATATTTTCACGTTCACTATCATTATTGCTGAATTTGATCTGATTTTTTTAATTCGCAATTATTTATATCGCTATTAAAAGTGGTTGGGCGAGACAAATTTTGGTTGGGCGCTCGCCCAACCTCCCCAAGAGCCGCCACTGGATGAAAGTCCTGATACCAATCGTCCCTTATGACTAGGGCTATGAAACTGTGGCAAAGAAAATGATGAATTACTGAATATAAAATCAGTGTTAACGCTTTGCTCTTGGGTCGGAGCGGCGGTTTACATCCATCGTTTTAGAAATAAAGTTAAAAAATATAAATTAGAGAACGTAGACTAGGGTAATAAAGTTAATATAATAATAAAGAGATGACATGAGAAACAATTTTCAAAAAGGCAAATACAAAAATTTCAATATTTGAAATATTTGTGCACAATAATAAAATAGGAGAATAGCGTCATTTTAGATTCTAATACACCGACTCTCTGTCTTTAGCTTTATCTACGTAATTAAAATTTTATGGATGTTATCAGAAAGATCACTTGTGAGACCTGTAGGAATTCAGAAAAATATGGAACCCAATTTTACAACAAAGATGTTTCAAAAATTATTTATTACCCAGTAGCTGCTGATACTAACCCAAACTTCCTATAGTACATGTGTATCTCATGTTCTCCATTTTCGAACACAAAAGAAGGGTTTTAAAATAATAACTGTTCAGTGAACGACAAATGTATTGGATGTAATTATTTGAAAATCAGGTTTTCATTTTTCGAAAAATAGTTTGCACACGTTGATTCTTGGTTTAATTGCGCATTTTCCGAACTAATTTCTATGTATACAGGGTGACCCATTTTTTTATGACATCAAAGCCAACTTTCGTAAATATAAGATGCTCTGTTTGTCGTGGTGCAAGAATATCTCAATTTTAATGAGGTCCCTATAAAATTATAAAATTTTTATGTGCCATAGCCTATTATTATTTCTTGCGGTTTTCGTGATATTGTCGTCAAACATTCGTGGTTATTAAAATTGTCACCCAAATTTAGAAACTAATTAAAGTTAACATTATAACAGTTATTTGAAATGCAAGGTTTATGTAAAACGGCAGCAACACATGGGACAACGAGGGCTTAATTTAAATGTTTAAAAACTTAGTTAATTAAAAACTCTCTTAGTTTAAATTTTAGTTAGTTGATGAATTAAAATGAAATGATTTGATTTGATTTGATATTTATATAATTATTTGCAGTACCTTGCTAAATTACCTTGCTTCCTCTTCTTGCACGCAATATATCATTTATAATATCGTGGAAACGACAGTTCATATTTTGGTTCCAATTAGATCTTAACCCAAGATCTTAACAATTTAATAATAAATTATTTTTATTGACCTACAATATTCAGTAATTTCCAACGTCCCACAGGTAATTTATTGACATTTAGGTATGCCTACTCTTAAGAACAAGTAGGACAATGATAAATTGAAGTAAATCTATTACCACCCTATGCAATTAACTAATTGAAGCCGTCTTATGGCCTTGAAGAACACTTGCCAAGAATTTGATCTTCCAATCTGAAAAAGTCTATCAAAGTCGCAAAAATTAGAGAATTGCCGTAAGTCATGGGCGTAGCCGACGATATGTACTGAAATCAAAATGGTTAAATACCGAGATCGTGCTATTAAGTAATTTATTTATCGTCTGTATTTCTTAACAATTATACAGGGTGTTCCATGATTGTGGGTAAAATACGGCTCCACACCGAGACTGATTTAAGAATCTGCTCTGTTGTATGAAGCCAAGAAATAATTTCGGGAAATGAACCAAGATATTAAATTAAAAGTAGAGCTTAGATTGTGCTATCCAATCCTGTGCAGGGTATGTTAAGTATACATATCTACCGTGATGCATCCTGAGCACTTACATTTACACACAAGTTACTAAACCATATTTCGCTAGTAGTCTTTTGCGATAAAGTTGTAATAACAGTGCAATAAGCATTTTCCTGCTTTCTGGTCCGTCATATATCTTCAAAATGTTTTTCTATTTCTTCACTGCTGAGTCCGTACTTGGCGCATACAGATGTACTCGTATAAGCTGTAAGTCGTGTGTGACTTACACCTGTGACTAATCTTCAACATGATGGATGACTATTTCTGAAATGGCAGAGAATTTGATTACCAAATGTTTAATTCTGCGGTTAATTAAAAATGGCACTCTGCCATAAACCAGAATTGTAATTTGTTTCATAATTATTTTGATACAAAAGATGTTTTGATTTCAATAACAGACTTTTTTCCCAGGCATTCGTGTCTCACACAACCCTATGTTCTTCCAGTTTATTTTAGTGAGTTCCGCTTCTAGTTCTTCGCGTTGTTCTTCTGTGCTCATTGTTTTAATATCGCACGTTCCTATAGTGGGTTTATTCGGATTTTAATGTCCCTTCCTTTCTGGCTTAGTATTTAATATCGTCGATTTTTTACTCCCACAGAATTCTTGAAGCTCATAATGGATCGGTGTGTGAATGTGTGTATCTAACGATCAAAAATAAGGAGGATAGTGGTCTTTTTTTGCAGGACACGACCCCTACAAAAAACACCTCTTCAGGATCGGGCTGAGCGGTCAACTGACCTGCAGGGGGTGCGAATTAGAGGACGAAACTACTCTACATATCATGTGTTACTGCAAGTCATATGCAACAGGTAGACGAAGACTCCTGGGATGGGATGAAGTTATACCAAACCAGGTCATGCGTACCCCCCTCAAGCCTCTTCTGGAATATATTAAATACACAGGGATAATGAGGCAGTAGAGTACAAGGGCACAAGTCCCACACAGCCCAGAGCGCCAGATCACCGGATCTGGGTGTGCGTAAGAGCATTTTCTGAACCTCACCGGAAAAAAAAAATCTAACGGTACCCACCCGGGGTGCTTTTCGTTTTTTATTTTAGTTTACCATTATGATGTACTCATTCTAGAAGGGTGAGGGTACATATCTATGGCGGAGTAGCTAAAGACCGAAGAGCAGCAAACAGCGTATCGTTGCTAATTGATAAGAAATATCTGCTCTCAAAAAGTGCAAAATTGGGATACACTAAATGAACGAATTGTAGTGGCAAACTTCACAGTAAAAGGACATAGATTATCTGTTGTAGGTCTATACCCCCCAACTGTTGACGAACCAGCTGTTGAAAAGGATGAATTCTATTACCAATCAGAAACTAATCTGACCAGTGTCGGAAATTAGGGGACCATCATTATTCTGGGAGATCTTAACGCCAGAGTGGGACGTGACGAAGATAGCAATATAGTTGGAAGTTTAGGTGAAGGAACTCTAAACAAAGGACAGAGACTCCTTGAATCATGCGAATTATGTAGTAAGTAAGTAACTTAAGATACTGAACGAATCTTCGAAACATAAGTTTATCTAGAAATATACCTGGCATCAAGACACTAGGAGACTCAGAAATTTTATCGATTACATAATTATTAAAAAAAAACACTAACTGGCAAGTTATTTATACTAGAGTATTCAGAGGAATAGAGTGTGGCTCACATCTACTTATCACTAAGTCTAGAATTAAATTTAACACTACACAAAATAGAACTAACTCCCCTCTAGCCAAAAATTAAATAGAGCAGTCCAGGTATAACCTGTTGGCTTGTAGAACCAAGCAATGGAGTGCTATTTCAGAATAGCACATTACACGAGAAACCACGTTCCAATATCAGCATATAGTGGAGTCATTGCCCTTTGCGGCACATGATGCCGAAGAAAAAACAATCTTTTACAACTTTCTGATGAAAAGTCAATGAGTCAAAAGGCAATGATGCTTTTTGTCATTAACAGATAGTTACAGGTATATAGGCTTTGTCAATAATAACAATAATTTGTCAAAATGCGACTTACTTTGAAGCTCCTTTCATGAATTTGCGGATATACGATTAGTTCCGGGGAAATGCCAATGCAACATAGGAGAAGCTGTAAGAACTCACGCCAACATAGGGCGAGAGACACTGGATATTGGCTCATGGAAGATAATGGACGACAATAGATGTTCGGGTTCCAGATACAGAGAAACAATTACTAGACATAATTGCAGCAGAGCCTTTCAGTGGTACTCAGAACCCAACAACTGACACTTTTCCAGGCGCCAAATAAATAGCGAGGAAGGGCTACATTTCGACCACGTATCTAAGGTACAGAAGCTGCTCGATAAGAGTGGAAAATGAGGCAATTAGGCCGAATTACACAGCACTAATTGGTTTAGAGTTAAAGACTCAAATGTAGGTTTATTTGTTAACATTCCAATTCGAGGTTATGAGGACAATAATTGACATCTCGAAAAAGTGCGTTCCACATTCAACGAATCCTGTTGAATTTACCTAAACGGTCCTTGTCTATTTTATTGTTATTTTCTGTATAATTCCATAGTTACTGCAGTTTGTAATAATTAAGAAGCAGCATGCATTTACGTAAAGTTAATTACCTTGAAAAACATTGTTGCCATCCTTCTTATCTACTTTTTTGCAAATATCTGAATTTAAAAAAACAAATAATTTTTTTACTATTTGTCCTGTACCTACTCTCAGAACACCCCCAGACAACAACTCCATAGAAATGACGCCAATTTTGAATAACCCTGTATCATGTATTGGTAATTCCTTTAAAAATGGTTTACTTGTCAATTGTTTTATTTCGTCTAATATTAGACATATTTCAAAACAAGAAAGGAGTAGTGAGATTTTCAACCTTTTAGGACGGTCGTGTACATGGTTTATTGACGTTATTTTATTGTGACATATTTTCATGATAATCACGTCGATGTGACGTGATTTTTGCTGACCTCCAAACTACCGTTTATTTGCGAATAAAGTATTTTAATGTAAATTAATATATCACGCTAATTTTGTAGCCTTGTGTATTTGTTTTGTAGCCTTGTGAGAAAATGTATATACATCACACTTACTGTTGATGCGTGAACCCTAACGATGGCTTAAATATGGGCAAAACGGTTGGCTAAAACTATTTTTCTTTCTATCACTATTTATTAATCGATAAAACCCATGCATCTAAACAAACATCTTTTACTAATCTTTGTCATCCCTTTTTAGTAAATACAGTTTATATTTAATCAATTATCAATAAAACTAGCCATTTTCTATTTTAATTTCGGCGGGTTCAAATAGCCGACAATTTGCTCAGATTGTGTTAAAATGTTACAGGAAAAGCGCTAATATTGTTTGTAAACCACATTAATGGTAATGACCTAAGACATAAATCACTCGCCTGCTGTAATCCTTGGCATACGATTTTAAATCTTGGAATGCCCCAAAGATCGTTAATGAACTCCAATTTGCTCTTTATATGTTATGCTTTCAACAAAATCACCAGTTTAGTTATTTGTTTAAAAACAAATTACATTTATTTTTCTTTAATCACTTCCATTTAGAAGCTGTTTTGAAAAAGCAATTTTACCTTTGTATTTACTTCGACATTTAATTGCTCTCAATTGTAAATGTAATAAAATAACTATCTATTAATTAATTAATATTTATTCATTTCGGTCACACTTAAAAGGTCACTTAAAAATTTGGACCTGCATATGGAGCATATTTGGATCAAAGTCAAAATATCAGATCAGCTCATTTAAAATTAGTAGTTCATAATTTTATTACATATTTTATAATTAGACAGTAAAGCGCAGCATTTTAAAATAGCACACGAAAGTAAATAGGTGTACTATCTTGGCGTCCATGCGTCATATGCTCATAATTAATTATTTCAAAGAGGAAATATGCGAAAGCAGAAGACATTTAGCTGTACCAGATAACTTCTTACTGAGTAATTAGCTAGTTTTTTTGTGCCATTCAAAAATGTTAATTAGAAGATCGTATAAATATGTTTGAATAGCTGGAGTAGCTCACTATAATTATTAAGAATGAGGAACTTTGAAAAATAGAATAAGTATTTCTACAAAAAATAAGTCTATGCTCACCGCAACTAATCCAGGTAACAATGTGCACTTGTCCTTATTCTTTCGTTTGCAAGGTCACAATGACACTATATATAAAATCCCAACCCTTTCGTTTGTTTAAGTTCGATTTTTATTTGATTCATTATACCTGATTTGAAAGCTACGCAAAAAATATTTCGAAATCAACAACCACAAAACATCAAACGTGTTAGCGAACGATGAACTCGCTAAAATAAATGCTGGATAATATTTAGCAGTCCATTTTTGTCTCAAAAAAATCCCTCAATTCTTGTTTATAATTACGCAGATGGACGGACCCACACGATGACGAACAAGTCTACGACAAAGGATAAACGATTTTGGAAACGAACGCAACATCACGCGAATCGTCTGCTGGAATGTAACATCATGGAATGGAATAGATCAGGAAATTATGATTGAGATGAAAACGCATAAAATCGATATTTGCGGAATCTCAGAATCAAAAAGAAAACGAAAGGGAACCACCTTGGTTGAACAATACACATTAGTACACAGCGGTAGAGATAAACAGGAAAGAGCACAATTCGGAATGGGCATATTAATACACGAAAGATATACAAAAAACATAGAAGAAATAGACTATGTGAATGATAGAACATTAAGAGTGTCGCTGAGGACTGGGCAAACTGTCATACACCTAATAAGCTTGTACGCCCCAGACATCTCTAAACCAACAAAAGAGTCAGAGATCTTCTGTGAAAAACTTTAGAACACTGTTAATAAAACAATCAATAGGCATAAAATCAGCATTCTCGGAGACCTTAACGCCCGCATAGGAAACGAGGAGATACCAGGTGTAAAGCAAATGTCAGCAAGGCAGTAATTAACGAAAACGACGAACTCCTAATCAACCTCTCGCAAGAAATGAAATGAGAATAAATAATACTTTTTCCCGGCACAAGAACCAGCATAAAAACACATTTAATCAGCCCTGTGCTGAATCACTCACGTTAACTTTAACGTGCATGTTATCCGTCAAATACGTTATGTGGCTCCAACTGGTGTTTCTATCAGTAAAACCTTTATATTATGACGCACGGCACGGCAGGCGCACGCTATCGACAAACGTTATATTAAGAAATAGCGCTTCAGAATAACAGCATTAAATCACATGCCGCTATCGAACTTAACGTGAG